CCTGGTATTACAGGCCTTTCTATGCCTGGCCTCATAAAGACTCCTGCTGATCTTACAAGTCTCAGTGCAGACAGCCTCCTCCCTGTTCTCCCAATCCTGCACATTCCAAGCAGGTCAATGCGGTCCTGCTTAGACCCCACTCAGGGCCTCGGGGGTCAAGTCACCACATTCTCTCCACCACTGCCACTCCCTGGCTATGTGGGGAGAGGTCTGGTCATAATCTCCATTTTCCTTCAACCCTCCCTCACCCTGCCACCCACCCAAGGGGAAAACATCATAATCTCCATTGTGCACAAACCTCCATGTGGTGGCGTTGTCATAACCTACATTTTCCATCAACCATTTCACCCTCCCAACCCCCATGGGGAAGAGTTTAATCTCCATTTTCCATCAACCTACTTTTCTCTTCCAACCAACCACAAAGAAGGCACTGTCAAATATTATAATCCGTCTGTTGTTGACCAAAACTTTGTTATGTGGCGCATGACTGAACCGTGTTTTTGGCCAAGTGGAGCATTTACAGGGACACGAAAGTTATCTAAGTTTTGATTTGCTGATGGGGCACCCTGGGCAGGAGCAGCTCCATCTTCAGCCTAGAAATTTATTTCAGCACCTGGAACCCCACAGGAAAGGCATTCTGGGAAGCACGGATCCAGTGTGGATAAGTTGACAAGGTACAAAGTCACTAGAGAGCCCATCCCTGCTGGCAAGGAAAAGGACTGAAGGAAGCTAATATTTATTGAGTACATTTTGGGCCTGGTACTGTACTAAACATTGAACTCATTGATAATTTATACCCTAGTAGGGAGCTGACCAGACCACGTGTCAGAAAGCAATGGAATAGGGTGGGGCTGCAGCAGTCCGTTACACCCAGCTGCTGGTCACTGCAGCAGAGAGAGCCCCAAAGCTCAGGAAGGCGTCAGGGAGCCTTGCGATGCTCTGCAGAGCTGTGGGCTATTTTCAGGGCCACCTGGGGACCAGACGAGGCAGAAGCTGTGAACTGCTTTGGTCTTAACAGACTGAGGAAACTTTACTATTCCTTAATATTTGTAAATGATTTGAAAATAATTAGTCATTGGTGAGGAATTGTTCTATCATTTTTGTTAACTGATGTATAGATACCATACATAAATGTGTCTGGAGGGATAATCTTTGACGTAATCATCACCTACATTTTTTTCTTGCTATATTTTTCCTTTTCCTTTAACTGCTTCCCTTCAAGGAGAGAGAGCAGATACTGTTTTTTTTTTTTTTTTTTTTTTCCCCAAGGAAACTATTGCAGCAAAGTTGAAAGCAGAAGTTACCTGCAAAATACTTTCCCTTCCAGCTTTTGTGATTTTAAACCCACACCGATAGAAGGAAGAGCGAGGTTTGTGGGTCCTGGAGGAGCGGGGGCAGCCGGATCCCAGAGAGGGTACATGTGTGTAGATAGGAATATGGCCAACCTCACAACAGATCCCATGAGGTAGGAATTATTATATCCAGGTTACAGACTGAACACTGTACAGTACAATGGTGCAGAGTAATATGATGAAGTGTGCCCATGACATCGTTTAGGCATATGAGACAGATGCCTCTCTCTGGAACTGAGCTCATCCATGGATTCTGGTCCTATATATTTATCCAGACTGGAGCTCTCACTTCCCTGGCAGAATTACCCTCAACACAAGCTTCTCTCACTTCCTCTTCTCCATTTCTTCTTTAAATTAAAAGGTATGAAGAGTAGGATGGATTGTTTTTTTTGGATAGTTTAAGTTTATCTAAATATTATGCATGAGGTCCAAATAACAGAATGATATTCTCTGATTCACATTCATCTTGTGGTCAACTGGGGCCCTCAGAATCTTTTTTTTCAACATTTGCTCATGTTTACCCTTTCTATTTTTGTCTCCTTAGATGACTGGCCTTCTTCAATGGGCTAAGTATGGTTGGGATATAATCCACACTAGGCAAACTGTAATGGATTTATACTGAGAAAGAATTTTTCACATGTTCCCCTGTTTGAAACAAATTTCAGTTAATTTCCACCCAATTTAGTGATATTTTACCTCAATATTATTTACTTGTCTATCCCAATACAAAGTTACATTTATTCCCCAAATATCTCTTGATCCCTTAGTGAGTGTCAGGCACAGTTCTGTGTGTTGGGGATACACATTCTCCATTATTCTGAGCAGAACTAAGTCCTGTTCTCTTGGGCTTCAGTCTGGGCCCTTGGAGTGAATGCAATAGATTATTAATGGTCAGGGTAGAGCTGACATATAATTGTGTTGAATTTTACAGAGAGAAAACATATGTCTAAATGCCTCCAACTCTCCCATTGCTGTAATAAGTGTGTGTGTGTGTGTGTGTGTGTGTATGTGTTTGCAGGGGTGTGGGAGGGAACAGCTAAAATGGAAAACAAACACAGGGAGGACAGAGTGGCGAATGCAGGGATAGGTTCCTCCCATAGCTATTTTCTAGAAATAGAAATAGGGATCCTCAGTTTCTAGTTGCAAATTAGGGAAGACAATAAGAAAAGGAAATGCAAGATTAACTAAGATTCATCATAAACAGTAAAATTGAGGTTAAGATTTTAAAATTCAGCTCTCAATTTATGAGTTAAATTATACACAGGGAAATGATATACGACTGAAATAGAAGAACAAATTGTTTCATGTTCTTGGAAGAAACATTTTCTTCCTCACTGTCCCTGGGCAGTTTCTGGTTTAGAAGGAAAAAGCCATTTCTTTCCACCCCAAGAGGGCAAGAGCACAGTTTGTCCAACCCCATCGCATGTGAGCTGCGATTAGTGTGGTATGCATTCATTTACATTCGAAATAAGCACATAAATATATGCTTGTCAGATTCAGATAACCTCTATTAAGCACTTATCAGCTCACTGACCATTTAAAAAAGTTTACCCCCCAACCAGTTTCAAAGTTGCCCCATTAGTCTAAATGCTCCTCCATTAGCCTGGAACCTGGGCATTCTAGAACCGCACCTGCACAGTGCCTGGCTTAGAGCAGATGGTGTCTGTTCTTGCTGGGCTGAACTGAACTTAACTGGATGGCAAAGCTGCTGTAGGTAGGTGGCAGTATGGTTCAACTCCCGGCTTTATATGGCGCCAGTTAGGAATTTCAAACCCATCTCTTTGTGGGCTGGGGACAAGCTACTAAACCTTGCACGGCCTCAACTTTCTCATCTGTAAAATGAGGAAGTAATAGCTGCCACAGTTATTATAACGATTAAATAAGACAGTCTGTTAAGTACTTAGTACCTGGCTTGGCATATCGCTCTCAATAAACGTTAGTTATTATTGTATTACATATGAGCATCGATCAAATTCTACGTAGCAATTACTGTGATATTTGAAGAGAGCTGAGGGCTCTTTAGAGGAGGCTGAATTATGCCAACATTTCACTAACTAAAAAGTTACTGACGAATTAATCATAGATTTCAAAAGATTCTTGTCTCTGATATTATGGAAGTATGAGCTGGTCAACTTTTCGGGGGAGAGGTTTTAAGTTGTTACCCCTTTAATTAACCGCACCTCTGTTAGGCCCTGTCTAAAACCCCAGGTTAGTATATTTTGGTATTACTGCAGGGGGGTTAATTTTGGCAGAGCGGAATTGTCTAATTTGGGTGACTGTAATAAAATTGGGTTAAAATGCTACGGCAGTAACCAAACTCCTATCAAACATAGGTTGGCTGATGGCAATGCTAGTACTTCTGCAGAACACAATGCATATTGTCTGCACTCAAGTGGAGTTCAAGTCCGAAACAGCCTTCAGAGGAGGAAAGACGTAGGTCCTTCAAGGAGAAAGGGTCGTAGCGGGAAAAACCCCTTTGACCTTCCAGTCTGGAACCATTTCCCTTATAGAGGGCGGGGATCCTAAGGGGGTGACCACGTGGGGTCAGGAGGAGCCCCGCGGGGCTGGCTCACTGAGGATTCATCCGTCCCACTAAGTGTCCTGCAGCCCTACTGTGTGTCCGGGGCTTGTGCCCGAAGGCCCGCTGCCCGTTGGGCGCAAGCAGCCCGCGAGGTTAGTGGTGCACTGAACAAGCCGGCTTCACCTGGCGCCCCAGCCTGACGTTTCTCGGCACTTGGAGTTCCCTGTCCGGCCGGCGGTGGGCGCGCGCCCCGCGAGGCCGAGCCCGCTGCCGTATGCACAGCCGGCCGGCCCCGCGGAGCCCTGGGGTCCCACGGCCTCCGCGCCCGCACCACCCCAGCTCCGTGCCCGCAGCCTGCAGAGGTCGGTGCGGCCTGTGCGCGCGGGGCCGGGGCCGGCTCACCCCTCAGCCAGCAGGGTGGCCCCCCCGCCCCCGCGGCCTGGCCTCAGGCCGGGTCTCCGCCGCGGAGGGGGATGGGGAGGGAGGAGAGACTGGAGGAGTTGGAGACAGAGACAGCCTCGGCGAGCACAGTTACGGCTGGAGACAGGCGGCGGCGGCGGCGGCGGGACACTCCCCCCACTCCGGCGACGGGAGGCAGGACGCCTCCCTCGGCGGCCGCAGCACCCTCTCCCCGCTTTCCCCCACCCGGAGGCTGCGGGCCAAGCCGGCGGGCCCGGCGGCCGAGTGCGGCTGGCCCTGCC